TAGGTTGCCATTTCTTTCTGCGGTAGACCAGTTTTCATCCAAAGCTATAGAACTCTGTCTGTCCTGCTATTTACCCATAGCTGAGGGTAGAAAAAGAGACTTCATACCTTTTCCAACGGTATAGTGAATGTAGCAGATTCAAGTGGAATTGTATTTTGAATTCATATCTATATTTGAAGTAATTTGAATTCATATCATTGAAGGTAATTTGAATTTATAACTTGAAGGTAATTTGAATTCACGTCTTTAATTCAATTGTATTTTGAATTCATACTTTTATTTGAAGTTAATTTGTATAAATATCATTGAAGGTAATTTGAATTCATAACTTGATGGTAACTTGAATTCATACCTTTAATTTACTTGTATATTTGAATTCATACCAATATTTGAAGGTAATTTGAATTCATATCTTTGAAGGCAATTTGAATTTATAACTTGAAAGTAACTTGAATTCATACCTTTAATTCAGTTGTATTTTGAATTCATACCTTTATTTGAAGGTAATTTGACTTCATATCTTTGAAGGTAATTTGAATTCATAATTTGAAGATAATTTGAATTCATACCTTTAATTTAATTCTATTTTGAATTCATACCTATATTTGAAGGTAAGTTGAATTCATATTTTCGAAGGTAATTTGTATTCATAACTTGAAGGTAACTTAAATTCATACCTTTAATTCAGTTGTATTTTGAATTCATACCTTTATTTCATCTGATCTTCTGTTTCGTTCAAGCTGGCCTTCTGCAGCTGAAATACATACTCGGTAAATGTCTGTACTTTCATAGATTTTTTTTTTCATAGAAATTTAGTCAAATCTCGGAAGAAGTACTTAATTTGATTTCTATGACAAGAATGCAAAATCATTGAGAGCTGTTCTTAAGAAGGAGGTTTTAGAGAAAAAGTGACGAATTCGTAAAGAGAACTTGCTATAGGTTTTACAAAACTCTTTTCCCTGGAAACAGTTTTCATCAGATTCCTTCCGGACTCGAATAAAAGTAACTATTTCAATGGTTCCATACTTTTGGCACAGGAGACGTAATTAACTCTTTCACGTGCGAGTCAGTATCGGCATTTAAAGCCGCAGATTATAATTCAATGCAATGCGTTGGATTGGATATTAATTCCAAGTGGGTAAACCTATTCGATTGTGCACGATGGATAAAGCAACCTTCTGGCAATTTAAAAAGCGTGTATGCCCCGAACGTAGTACGGATTCTTTTGGCAGCACATGCAAGAGACGCATTGGAAGAATTCGTTATTATCATGATCAGAGTTCGTGTAATATATAATAAATAATTAAAATTTATATACACTGTAATACGAAGCCTCTATTGGCCTGAGGATGGAAAAACACAGAAAACCGAAGTTGAGATATGGAAATATGTTTTTAATAAGCAAACAAAATATTAAGAGATAGGCTAATTTCGTTAGAAATGAAGGAAAGAGTATTTAACTATTAGACAATAACAGTCCTCCTATATAATAGTGAATGCAGGACGATCGCCTCACTGGTTCTACAGAAGGATGATGAGAATGCCATGGATCTAACATGCAAGCAGCAACAAAAGAGACAAGAGACCTTGAAAAATTTGACACTCACAGGACAGACTGACGGCAAAGGGCACAAAAAAAAACAACGCATAACCTTGCCAACGAGCTTGTGTAAGTGGATGACAGGACATGGCTGAAGAGAAAAGATCAAATTTACTAAGAGCCCCAAATGGCAGGAAGTTGTGGTGCAATTCACATAGAAGAAAATATTATCTGTATTTTCCAGGATAACAGTCAGTGAGTCAGTCATGTGCCAAGCGTGACACACGCTTACGCGATCTTGTATCTTTCGATACATGACTCACGAGGCAGTTTTTTTTTTCCCCGCAGTAGTTTGCCATTTCTTTCTGCGGTAGACCAGTTTTCATCCAAGGCTATAGAACTCGGTCTGTCCTGCTATTTACCCATAGCTGATGGTAGAAAAAGAGACTTCATACCTTTTCCAACGGTATAGTGAATGTAGCGGATTCAAGTGGAATTCGAACTCGGCTCTCCGATTCCTCAATCCGAGCGGATATCCATTACCCTGGACAGAAATGCCGAGCAACGAGTAAGTTTTAAACACAATATGAATTGAAATGAATATGATACTTCCAATCAGATAGTGGCAAATTTCTGGTACGCGTAACGAGAAAGGTGTGCCTATAGAATTTAACACTCACAGTGTATATTGAAGGTGAAGGAAACGGTGGAAACAATGGTAGTGACGAATTGTAAAGGAGCAAAAAATGAGAGCAATTTATGGCGTGATTTTATTGTTCACTTCCTGAAAGCACATCCCATGGAAGAATTGTTGTACGAGCCCTAATAAAAGCTACGACTTCGACAGCTGATTTTTACAAGTGCTTTATAGACTCTTCATCCTTCCTTTCATATTCCATTGATAAGGAAGAAGATTTACTCAGTGTCTTCCTTAAAACAGTGGCGTTGTGGAACAGACTCCCGAAACGATGCTTTTCCGATCATTACTATTTTAATCTCTTCCAAAATATTCTTAATTTTTCATCTATCATACAAATCAAATAATATACACTTCCTGGTCCGTCCTTGAACGTTTTTAGAATAAATTAATTTACTCATACTCTATCTTGAGTGGCGCTTTTTCCTTGTATTGGTTATACAATAATAAAAAATGTTGTGGATTCCGGGATTAAATCCGATCTCAAATGAAGGACAAACGAAGGAATGGAATATAACAAATAAATTTATTGACGCAATAATACAATTGGTAATAAGGTTAGTAGATCCAGAAATGCGGTTAGTAGCAATAATAATATATATACAGTCTGGGAAATTCAGTATCGAAGTAGGACTTCCTTCTGAGTCTACGTGCTCGCAACTGTGACTCCTACAACGCGGTTACCTCACACTATTACTCTCTCACTGTATCACTCCCGGGTATTCACCGGCAGCAGTACAAGTACACACTGGGCGAGTCCACTTGTATAAAAAGGGGTGGACCACTTAACAAAAAAAAAAAAAAAAAAAAAAATATCTATGCTCGTTTGATTTCTTTTGCATCTGTTTACCATTATGAGGAAGGTCTACCATTTATGCGTATATCTAAAAATCAAACTGGGGTAAAAAAAATTTTGGCCTACAATCTGTTGTTAACCGTTTTAAAATCGTAGTAGATTTTGAAAGCAGATTTAGTGACTGAGCTAGTGAACGAATATATATATATATATATATATATATATATATATATATATATATATATATATATATATATATATATATATATAGACAGCTAGACAATCCGTATTGTAGGCGCATTTGTGTTTATTCAACACCTACAGGGCCCAGCTGTGGTTTATACTGCAGACCTTAGTTACAGTTTCTGGGAAAAAGCGTGGGTCTGATGGTTAGAATGCGAACATTCTAACCACTCGACCACGTGCCCATATATATATCTGTGTGTGTGTGTGTGTGTGTACAATACTTCAACCGTTAATTTTGTGGATACTCATATCGTCGACGCCGCGTATTCAGTTTGACAATTGCCGTGACGAATAAATACATATTTATTATTCATAGTATTATATATATATATATATATATATATATATATGTGTGTGTGTAGGGTGTCCATAAAGTTCGTGTGCACTTTAATACATTTATAACTTTATTTGTATTTGCGGTAGAAATAATTTGTAAAAAGGATTAGAAAGAAGTAAATCTATGTTTTTCTTTAAGGTTTTATTGAAATTTTGTTTAAGATTCCACATGTCCTCCATCATTAGCAATACAAAGGGTAATACTATGGAAAACATTCGCCAACTGATTTACAGTAATGCCTGAAATCACATTAGTTATTTTAGCTATACTTAAAACTAGATACATTAAACTTTATCACATTTTTTACAGATTATGTCTATTGCAAATACAAATAAAGTTATAATTTTTAAAAATGCACACGAACTTTATAGACACTGTATATATATATATATATATATATATATATATATATATATATATATATATATATATATATATATATATGAAGAGACTTTATAAAGCATTTTGTAATTTTTCTCTGCATATTTGTCGTTGTAAGCGTGTGTTGCTTCGTTTTATCTGTGTATATGTGACACATAACGTACTGCTTTCGCATCTCTAGCGTCGTGGTTCCTACGACTCTTTCACGTGTGCTTATTGTCCAGCCCGGTCATTACGCAGAGGTCATACAGGGTTAAATTCGAGGGACTTCGGACTAAGAAGCGCCCCAGGAACCAAACGATGGGCAGGTGGCCTGGAGAACGAGTTCAGCTAAATGGAACTTGACCTTGAGGTAGTCTGAACTGTCAATCGAGATCAGCCGATCAACCTCATTGACCCTGTCAATTTTCTCGTCAAGACAAAAAAATGTTTTTCTTTCTTTCTTTCTTTCTTTCTTTCTTTCTTTCTTTCTTTCGTTTTTCTTATTTCTTTCTTTCTTACAGGCATCCTTTTCTCTGTTTCGTTTTGTTGCTTTTTTCTTTCGTTCTTTTCCGTTTCTCGTTCCTACATTTTTTTCTTCGTTTCTTTTCTTTCTCTGTCTATTCTTTTTTTCTTTCTTTCTGTCTTCGTGATTTCTATCAACGTTTTGTAGTTTCTTTCTTTCTCTTTTCTATTTTTATCAGTTTTTACTTCATTTCTTTTTCATTTCCTTTTTCTTTTCTTTTCTTCTTTCTTTATTTTCTATTTCCTCTCATTTTTCTTTTCTTTCTCTTTTCTTTTTATTTACTTTGTCCTTTCTTTTCGTTTTATTTCCTTTTTTTTCTTTTTGCTCACGGCCATAAGTCAGCATGTTGATACATGACTGACGAGGCAGATTTTTTTTTCTCCCGCAATAGATTGTCATTTCTTTCCGCGGTAGACCAGTGGCTATCTAAGGCTTTAGGAACCCGATCTCTCCTGCTATTTACCCATAGCATTAAGAAGAGGATTCATACTTTACCCTTTCGGCGAGACCAACTTGAAACAGCAGTTTTCGTACGATCACCAAAGTTAAGCATAGTCGAGCCGGGTCAGTACCTATATGAATGACCGCTTGGGAATATCAGGTACTGTAGGCTTCGATGTGCGGATGGTGTACTAAATAACGGCTCAGTATTGGAAACTGGAGAGCCATGTTCAACTTCCAGTCAAATTCATTATATTCATTTACATGCAAATACATTTGGGAAAGCTATAAATCCACTTCTCCCCACACAGCTATGGGCTAATTAGTAGGACTTGTATCAGTAAATCATCATTATCTCCACAAAGTTCTTGAAAGCTAAATATATTTTCGGGCTTGAAACAACCTGTGAAAGGTTGATAAGCCGTAAAAAAGTGAATCAAGCCACCCTTTCACTTTTCCATATTGATTATTTTAATTTCTTTTTACCTTTTCTTTCGTTCCTCTTTCTCTTTTCTTTCTTTCTTATTTTTCTTTTCTATTTCTTTATTTACTTTTATTCTCTTTTTCTTTCTTTTTTACCTTCTTTATTTTTGTTTACTCGTATCATTTTCCTTATTTCTCTCTCTTTCTCTTTTTACTTTTTATTTCCTTTTCCCTTTCTTTCGATCTATTTCTTACCTACGCTTTTTTTTTTCTTTTCTTTCGTTTTCTTTTTCTCATTTGATGAGGTTGAAATGGTTGATAAGCCGTAAAGACTAAATCGGCCAATCATGATAGTTAGGCAAAGCGGAACAATGTATGAAACGTTAAATTGAATTTATTGATTGAGAAATACTTCTAGCTGAGTAGATGGGTTGGTGTTGCTGACGACAACTTGGACTCAGTTATTTGCTTTTATTTCGTTTTTCTTAATTTTTCCTTTTCGATTTTTAATTATTTTTATTTTCTATCTTTTTTTTACTTCTTTTTCTTTTTTCTTTTCTCTTGTCATTTTTTTCTTTTTTTTTTTTCTTTTTCTCTTTTTGCTTCGTAATTACTTTCCCCTTTTTTACAGTTTATTTTTACATAACATTTTTCTTTTCTTTTCTTTCGATATATTTTCATTTTTTCTTTTTATATTTTACTGCAATTTCCTTCCTTCCTTTCTGCCTTCATTCCTTCCTTCCTTACTTTCTTCTTTCCTTCCTTCCTGTCGTCCTCCATTCCTTCCTTCCTTCTTTTCTTCATTCCGTCCTTTCTCCCTTCCTTCATTCCTTCCATCCATCCTTTCTGCCTTCATTCCTTCCTTCCTTTCTTTTTCTTTCCTTACTGTCTTCCTCCATTCCTTCCTTCCTTCCTCCCTCCCTCCTTTCCTTCCTTCCTGCCTTCAATCTTTCCTTCTTGTCTTCCTTCCTTCCTTCCTTCCTTTCTGCCTTCATTCCTTCCTTCCTGTCTTCCTCCATTCCTTCTTTCCTTCTTTTCTTCCTTCCTTCCTTCCTTCTTTTCTTTTTCCTTCCTTCCTGTCTTCCGCCATTCCTTCCTTCCTTCCTTCCTTCCTTCCTTCCTTCTTTCCTTCCTTCCTTCCTTCCTTCCTGCCTGCCTTCATTCCTTCTTTTCTCCTTCCTTCCTTCCTTCCTTCCTTACTTCCTTCCTTCCTTCCTTCTTTTCTGCCTTCCTTCCTTCCTTCCTTCCTTCCTTCCTTCTTTTTTGCCTTCATTCCTCCTTTTCTGCCTTCATTCCTTCCTTCCTTCCTTCCTTCCTGCCTTCCTTTCTGCCTTCCATCCTTCTTTTCTGCCTTCAATCCTTCCTTCCTTTTTCTTCTTTACTTCCTTCCTTTCTTCCTCCTTCCTTCCTTCCTTCCTTCGTTCCATCCTTCTTTTCCACCTTCCTTCGTTCCTTCCGTCCCTTCTTCCTTCCTTCCTTCCTTCCTTCTTCCTTCCTTCCTTCCTTTCTGCCTTCATTCCTTCCTTCTTGTCTTCCTCCATTACTTTTTTCCTTTTTTCCTTCCTTCCTTCCTTCCTTCCTTTCTGCCTGCCTTCCTCCATTCCTTCTTTCCTTCTTTTCTTCCTTCCTTCCTTCCTCCTTCCTTCCCACCTTTCTTTTTTCTTTTCCTTCCTTCCTCCTTCTTCCTACCTTCTTTTCTTTTCCTTTCTTCCTGTCTTCCACCATTCCTTCCTTTCTTCTTTCCTTCCTTCCTGTCTTCCTTCCTTCCTTCCTTCCTTCCTTCCTTCCTTTTTTTCTCCCTTCCTTCCTTTCTTCTTTCCTTCCTTCCTGTCTTCCTCCATTCTTTCCTTCCTTCCTTCTTTTCTCCCTTCCTTCCTTTCTTCTTTTCTTCCTGTCTTCCTCCATTCCTTCCTCCCTTCTTTCCTTCCTTTCTTCCCCCCTTCCTTCCTTCCTTCCTTCCTTCCTTCCTTCTTTTCTTTCTTTCTTCCTTCCTTCATTTCTGCCGTCATTCCTTCTTTTCTGCCTTCATTCCTTCCTTCCTGCCTTCCTTTCTGCCTTCCTTCCTTCCTTTCTTTTTTCTTCTTTACTTCCTTCATTTCTTCCTCCTTCCCTTCCTTCCTTCCTTCCTTCTTTTCCACCTTCATTCCTTCCTTCCTTCCTTCCTTCCTTCCTTCCTTCCTTCCTTCCTTTCTGCCTTCCTTTCCTTCCATCCTTCTTTTCTGTCTTCATTACATCCTTCCTTTCTTCCTCCCCTCTTTCCTTCTTTCCTTCTTTCCTTCCTTCCTTCCTTTCTTCCTTCCTTTCACAATAATTTTCTTTCTTTTATTCTTTTTTTCATTCTTTCTTCCCTTTATGTTATTTTTCTTTTCTTTCTCTAGTACTGAATTTCCCTCTTACCAAATTTCGTTTCTTTATTTATTACGCCGATAACGATTATGAAAATACTATTCGAATCATTTAAATGAATACATATTTGTGTTATATATACATAAATAATATACATATTATATATAAAATATACACATTATATATACACATATACATATCAGTATTAGGGGTATTTACCCACAGAAGATGCTTTCTACATACACCTCTTCGCATGTGTCCAGCACTTGTGTCTATGTGCATCTTTTAACATGGATTTCTATAATTCTCAAATTGCCAAATTGGATTTCTTATATTCGTTTGCTCAACATTCCTGATGAGAGAGGAGAAAAAATTAGCGACAAGAATTTATTGTAGGGGCGGGGGTTTAAATGGAATGAAACATGGTGACTTCAGGATTTTTCAAATGAAAAGGAAAATCTAAATTATAGCGTTATGGATTTATATCATAGATACTTTACACTGCTAATTTCTAGAAAAGAGATTTAGAAGAGAAATTTTGTAGTAAAAGTAGACTTCTATTACTAGAAAGAGGACGGCGATATATACATGCATATATATATATATATATATATACATATATATATATATATATATATATATATATATATATATATATATATATATATATATACATATATACCATACATATATACATTTCATTATTATTATTATTATCATTATTATTATTATTATTATTGTTGTTGTTGTTGTTGTTTTTTAAATAATTGATAGATAAATAATAAAAGCAAATTGGCTGGTAGTAAGCGAAACAAAATAACGTTATAAATGAAAACGCTTTTCCGGCAAATTTGAAAGTACATTACCGGCCGGTTGTATCCCAGAATGCTCGTCTGCTAGAGGGGGCTAGCTAATCCCTTTTGCAGACGCCTACTCAAGTACATTTTTTATGTTTCTTTCACACCCAGAGAGCCCACTTGTGGTTTATACTGTATCTATGCTTTGCGGACTTTAGTTTCAGTTTCAGGGAGAGAGCGTGTTATCTGTCATGATTAACAGTCCGAACACGAGCAGCACGCTCAGACCCTCCGTCACGATGACTTGTGACTTTGTGTTAGCACAATCATCGACAACTCCTCAAAGAGTTCCGTCTACCTAATTTTACTTACAAGGCTTGGGTCAAACCTTGATATGGTTTTCAGGCACTTTCCATATGTCCTGCGCGCTGGGGGTTGCCTCCCCCACTTCGATAGCATCAAGAAGTCACCTTCTTCATAAATCGACCTTACTGAGAGTCGAAACCAGGTTTAATAGTCAGAAAGCGATCTCTCTCATTCTTCTCACACGCACACACACACATATATATATATATATATGTGTGTGTGTGTGTGTGTGTGTATGTGTGTGTGTGTGTGTAAAGGAAAAAAGACAATAGGACAACTGTAGTTTTAGCCGACGCGTTTCGTCCAGTATGGACGTTTTCAAGGCAAAAAAACCCCAAAAAACGAGATGAACTTATTGAATCAGAGTAGCTATAAACAGAAAACAAAATGTCGTTAGCAACTACAAAAATTTGGAAACGCTTTTGTTTATTGATATGATCAACTGAAAAATTACGTCAGTTACTTTGAAGAGAATATTCTCACATGTAGAAATATATATTAAGAAATCAAAAGAAAACAGTTGAATCCATCAACACAAAAAATGTAAACAATATTCAACGTTTATCTATTTAAAGTAGCTGGTTATGAGGCGCCAGTGGTCGGCTTCTCGTTCATTCTTTCGCTTGTACCTGCATTTGAGACGCATGACATAGGCGTATTTTAATACAATAGTGCTATCGTATGTGTAGGCTACTTATCGTTTCTGTATATCTTTCTTATAGTTATTCATTTTCTTTTTAAAAGTAACTATTATCCTGTAAATTCGATTCAAACAAAATACTTTTTTTCTAATATGTATTGTAAGTTTCATAGCACGCTTCTTATATGTAATCTTTGTTTAGTCTCATGGCTGTCTCAAAACATTTTTCTTATTTGTAATCTCTGTTTAGTATTGAATTGTGGGATATCTCTGATGCCGAATTGTCTTTTAGATTATGTCTCCTTGATCTGATTTTCCGCTGAGTAATTTCTCTTTACTTTTTTAAAGCTGTTTTAAATAAAATCTTTCTTTATACATTCAAATGTTTGAATTGACTTACGTGTATATAGTCATCAAGCTGTTTCTTTCACAAACAAATGCTCATATTGAAATCAAAATTTTGAACAGCAGTATAAGTATGTCTCAGAATCTCTCTCTCTCTCTCTCTCTCTCTCTCTCTCTCTATATATATATATATATATATATATATATATATATATATAATGAATGAATAAATGCGAAATTGAAGCTCAATTCT